GCATACAAAACATAAATGCAGATTTCTCCTGCACCAGATAGATGAACTCATTCTCCAGGCAGAGTGGGTTAGATGCAGCCATTCAGCATCACTGCACGGCATAGACAAGATGTCCAAACGGCTAGGGCACATGACTGTGACGTGGGCGATTCGGACCTACACCTAGCTCAGCTGCCAGCTTCCCTACTTGGCATAGTATTTTCAAAAGCCCCTAGCTGGTTTAGGAGCCCAAGATCTATTTATTTCGGAAGTCAGGCTCTCAGGACCCATGCATCTTCAACGAGATTTGGAGCCACATGTTACTTGGACCTTATAAATGTTTATCTTAACAAACCCAGCATCTCAGTCTCTGATCTGTGAAACAGAGTTGCCATATATCGAAAGGAAATCAGTAAGGCTAAAACCTGTTAATGAGAAGTAGGTGCTATATGAGTACATGGACAGATGTGGTCTTCCTGAATTCTGTCTACAGAGCTACTGTCTAGAATTTGGGTTGGTTTGTATCAATAGCGGTAGCCTTCCTTGTTTTTGGAATAAATGCTCCCATTTTTAATTGTACAGCTAGGGAGAATGTTACCACTGACCAGCAGTTACAGATGTCAGCTTTGCAGTTCTTAGCTACTTCTGAAAGTCTGCTGGGAGTTCAGCTTTTTAGCGTGAACACTAGAGCTCAGAGAGGAGGAGAGCAAAGGGCAAGCCTGCAAATTCTCCCTGGTTTGGAGAAAAGGCTGGGGACTGGGGCTGGAACAGCACCTTTGGAGATGGGTGCTGCCTGCTACAAGGAGCAAGACAGCAGGTCCTGGTTTGTCACCCGTGGGCTTCAGGCGCTGAATGCACCCCCAGAGCATCCCTGGTGAAGTAGTTATGGCTTTTGTTCGCTGGAACATGGGGCAGTGAAGTGGTCAGTCCCTTTTTTAGGGCTATGCTGACAGCGGAGGGTTTGGGGACAGAAACACGGCAGTGCTGACCCCTCTTCTGAGCCTTTCCCCTCTCTCTACGTCTGCATCCAGGGCAGCAAAGCGGGGTGCCTGGGTCCTCTGTACTCAGACCAGACAGCAGGGAAACTTGTTTCCTCTGGACATAGCCCAAACATTTTGCTAATTTTACTAACTCCCCGGGCCAAATTCTGCCCTAGGTAATGTTAGAATAATTTGCTTCTCAGAAAGCTGGGGCATAATTACCTGTCATGGGTGCGTGCTGACTGGGATGTAAGTGGAGGTGGCAGGTAGCGTAAATGGGCTCACTGTTTTTTGGTGACATTACAGAGGATCGCAGGTGGCTGGACTGGGTGTGCTCTGCAGATGCAATTGAGCAGCGGTTTGCATTGGGCTGTTTTCTAACGCTGCAGCGTCTACCGCTTCCCTTGGGCACACCATTCTCGGGGAGCGGGCTCTGCTCTGGGGGCAGCAGAACTGCTTTCTGGGCACACGGAGAGGTGTGAGGGGAGCCTCAAAGAGAGGGGAAAGCCCTGCACCTGCTTTCCTGGCTGCACTGTTCTGGGCTTTCTCAAAATCAGTCATTAGTGGGATTTTCCTCCTGCAAGCGCCATCAAGTGATGGCCAAAATGCCTGGAGTAAGAACCCGGCGGGTTTCCAGCTTAATGTACATACATTAACTGCTCAGGTTTGTAAACCTCACTGAGGGCAAAAACAAACACAGTAATGGAAGGCTGGCTGAAAATGAGCTGAATTTGTAAATCTCAGCAGCATGTGCAGGAGAAATAGCAAAAATGACTGAATAGATTGAAAGTGGTCACCTGCCTGAACCCGGCCACAGCTCTGGGAAAGGCGGAAAAGAGAAAGTACTGATAAAGTCTTTCAAAAGCCATTTGACCTGTAGTTTTCACTGATGTAAGGGATAACGGTGGAGATTTCGTTGTAATATATAGAAATCCAAATTTTTTTTCCTGAGCTGTAATCAGCTCCACTGAAGTTCCCTCTGTCCATCAGCAAAATCTGTCTTGTGCTTGTTCTTTCTGGAACCCCTTTAAAATTCTGCACCGCGGTCAGAGAGATTAAAGGGGTAATATAACCCCAGGAACCACGCTCCTGATGAGTAATTTCCCGGTGATTATTACGAGAAATAGCTAAGATCTAAAGGAGGCTCAGAGGGGGGAGAAAAAACCGGTTCTTTAATCCCCCCCCATCCATTTACTTTGCGCACTGGTGCCGCTCGCCCCGCTGGGGCAGGGCCAGGTCAGCTCCTGTCCCAGCCGGAGCAGCCGGGGTCCTCCCTGCCCGGCCGGCCCCTGCCCCCCGGTGATTATTACGAGAAATAGCTAAGATCTAAAGGAGGCTCAGAGGGGGGAGAAAAAACCGGTTCTTTAATCCCCCCCCATCCATTTACTTTGCGCACTGGTGCCGTCGCCCCGCTGGGGCAGGGCCAGGTCAGCTCCTGTCCCAGCCGGAGCAGCCGGGGTCCTCCCTGCCCGGCCGGCCCCTGCTGGCTGGTGGAGCCCCTCTGACGAGGAGCAGAGAGACCCGCGTGGGTGCCTGCCTGAACCAGAATTCAGCACTTCATGACAAAACAACTCCCAGTAAAGGGAGTTCTATCAGATTTTACAGTGGTTGGCATCAAAACATGAAGACGACTGTTTCTCTGGTAGGCCTGACCTACCAGACCTGTGCACGTCCTCTAATTTACTCCTTGTTCATTAGTCACTGCTGGAAAGTATATTTACACACTGCCCCCACCCCCAATAAAAAAAAATTATAATCCTTGGCAACCCCAAAATAGCCGGGCCACGGCCACCAAGCCGGGAGGGCTTCAGTTAGGAAGCACTCTGTCTCGGGCGAGCTGAGGTACTCAAAATCAGTGGATGTTTCTGAAAATGTAGGGCAACGTAGCTCAGTCCCGTTGGGCGGGCAGCCTGCGCTCCCGCTCAGCACTTCTTAATTTAGGTGAAACTGATTGCTTTCACCTTATATAATTACAACGATACTTGGCAGCCCCATCGCCGCTTCTGTCTGACGCTGCAAAGTGCTGTTCAAACACCGAGTGTAGAATGTAGGAGCTGAGGGTAAACGCTGTCGCTCGCTCTGGGCAGTGCCCTCCCGGGGCCGAAGGCTGCAGCGGTGCTGCCGGAGCCCCGGGACGCGGGGGCCCCGGGATGCAGGAGCCCCGGGACGCGGGGGCAGCAGGGACCAGCCGCTCTCTTTGAGCGGCCCTAGAAAGTTGTCGGTTAAACCCAGGAGCGTTTGCAGGGTCCGGGCTGCGCGCGGCGCCCAGGCGAAGGGCAGAGCGGGTGCTGGTGCCCAGGCTGGGTGAGGGGATAAACGACACGTCGCGGCAACGCCCGAGGTGTTCGCTACCCCTAAAACACGCATTCGTTTCCTTTGCCGGACACCCACCTTCGCTTTCCAACAGACCCTGAAACTATTTATTTGGCATCAGTTTGGCTGTGCCGAGGGGGAAGCAGGGCAGGGGTGACGGCGGGGAAGTCCACGTCCCGCGCCGCCTTCACCGCAAGAGACACCCCCCCACGCACCTCGGGGGTCTGCCTCGGCATTGCGGACCGGCCCACGGAGACGCGTGGACGCCCAGCGCAGGCCTGCGGGGGCTAGCGCAGCCCTTATCAGAGCGG